AGTATTTTTCAGTCTTCACCTGTTTTAGATATATCCATACAGTATAACTACATATATTACAAGCCATTATTATCTTTGCTCCACGCTGATTTTGGTGTCTTTTAATTCGTCTGTAATAGTAGGTAAGTGTTGTCGCAAAGAAGAGAAATTCTCAGAGTAGCCAGAGCACCTCAGTCATTTTGGATATATGCGTATATTATAGGCATTTATTTTCTTTGCTGCACGCTGATTTTGATGACTTCCAATGCAGTTTATGTAAAGTTTATTTGTTTGTATAATCACTATTGTATAAGTTTTACAGAACCAACATTTGTTTATTATCTTTTGCAGCCACTGTTGTAATGGCATTTGATTTCACATGCAGTGCCATAAAATATTTAGATTTTTTTTCGCTTGCTTTTGAAGATGCAATAACTCAGTACACACAGAAATATAACTGAGTATAGTTTTTCATACATGATCACTATCTAGTATACCATTGTATAACCTTCCATCCACGTTACACCCAAACCTGTTTGTTTGTTTTGAATTTCGCGCAAAGCTACATGAGGGCTATCTGCCCTAGCCGTCCCTAATTTAGCAGTGTAAGACTAGAGGGAAGGCAGCTAGTCATCACCACCCACCGCCAACTTTTGGGCTACTCTTTTACCAACGAATAGTGGGATTGACCGTCACATTATAACGCCCCCACAGCTGAAAGGGCGAACATGTTTGGTGGGACGGGGATTCGAACCCGCGACCCTCAGATTGCGAGTCGAGCGCTCTAACCACCTGGCTATACCGGGCACACCCAAACCTAATCCTAGTTTAACGTCATTTAAAAACGAAGTCCCATTACAAATTACAAAGTGTAAAAGTCTGTATAGGAATGTTAAGGAAGAAATAAACGGATTTATTCTCGTAATGTAGACTGAACGTTAAATTATTTCCACAAGATTATCTAAAAGAACCTGCCAGCGAAAAAAACCACAGTAAAACAATATAATATATCGTTTAAAGCTACAGTACAATAAATACGGATATGCTCAATTAATTAATTTCAACAGTACTTCCCTTTTTCACAGTTTTGGTAATCAAGCAGGAATTTTTCGAAAAGTTAAAAGTGAAAACGTTTGCTTGTCAGATAGTGTCTTTGCTGCTATAGTTGAGAGCATTCGGCACTAAAAACATGTTCTTAACTGGAATGCAAAATTTCAAAGTGAAGTCTTGTGAATTATGCAAAGTTTGAGATTTTTTACTCTATATATAAATTAATCTACAACCAGAAGTCGCAGCTATAGCCTATGTTCTCTGTGTTAAGATAAAAAAAATCCGATTTTGCCTAAAATAATAACTGTTGCTTCGATTTTTTATTATTTTACCATAAAATAAATAATCACGTAAAAATCGTTAAATGTATAATTAAGGTATCAAGTTGATGACGCAAATATGAATGCCCAAAATATATCTACAACTCAGCAAAGCACGTTGATTTACGTCATTGCCAACTAACTGCTTTCTAGTCAGCTATTTTAGTAACGATAACCGAGACTTCTATAGTGTGGGCGTTAAAAATACTAGACACTACCGATCAGACAAAATGACTTTTTACGCAATGACTAATGTCTATAGAGAACAAACGCCAGGTGAAGGTTTCAGCATAAACTCCACGCATTATAATTTATTTAACTCTAGATTTTTTATTTTCAACGGCTATATAAAAAGTAAAGTAAAGTTACACACTTTAGATTTTTTTAAATTTTCTCGTGAAATGACAATTCAGTTTATATTGAAAAATATATGAGTTGGCATACAATAAACAACCTTTATTTACATCTTAAATAGCTTGAATATAACCACTGGAAGGCATGCTCAGAATAAGAAATGTTTACATCTGATCACTGTCCACAAACCTGTAAATTCAGATACTGAAATATGGAAACAAAAGAGAACAAATTAAACAGGATGTAACAGAAATTTAAGGTTACAAATATTGACGACTCTTGTATTTCTACTCAGGAATTATGAAATATAAAAATTATTTAATTTTCTAAGGAAAGTTATTTCACCGTTATACGCTATACGGCTTCATTAGCTCTCAGGTATGCTACTTAAAAGTTACTATGACAACCATACTGTTTGTGTCTGCTGTGAATATGTGTTCATAAGTTAGGCTAAAGATGTGGATTTGGAAAAAGGTTTGTTATTACAATAAAAGTATAATGGGCTGGAATAATAAATATATTTGTCAAAGAGTTACATGAACTAATAAATAAGTATCTAAATTTCAAATGTATAATTAAGGAGACACTAATGTAAATATTTACGATAATGTTAAACATGGCCTTGAAACGGTGCAGAATGATTACTTAAGTGTGTTGGTAGAAAATAAATTTGTCTCGTACATAAATACTCCTACTAAAGTCTGTGATAATCTGAAGTCGTGTATCGACCAAATTTTTATTAATGGTTCCGTGAACAGTCAGGCAAAAGCTACTGTATTTAAAACTAATATTACGGATCACAATTATACATCTGTACACATGGATTTCAAAACTTCTAATGCACGTACCTCCAATACCCCTATTGTAAAAACTAAAATAATTAATTACTCGAGACTGAATGAAATTCTCAAGACAGAAACATGGAATACTGTGTTAATGTAAAATGATGTAAATATTAGCACAAGTAACTTAGTGACTGTAATGAATTTACATTTGCTGCAAACCACTCAACAACTAACACAGTCTGCTCCTAACTTGAAGTATTGAAAAATACAGCCGTGGATAACCCATGGTTTACTGGTTTCATTTAGAAGGAAAGAAAAATTAAGTAAAAAAGCCCGCAAATAACCATTTAACTTACATCTCAAAAATTATTTTTAAAAATATTCAAATATATTAACTAGCTTATTAAAACAAGTAAGAAATAGATATTATGGTAAAAAAATATCGGAAAATTATACTAACATTAAGAAACTTTGAGAAACAATAAAGTTAGCAATAAATAAGCAAACTGCACTCATAAAGACAACAACCAAATTAACTGACTAAAAAATGGGAATGTAATTAATTAAATTAAATAATCCAAAACATAGAGCAAATATATTTGGGGAATAATTTAAAACACTAGGAAAAGAAATGGCAGCAAAATAGGCAAGACAATAGAGATGGATGAGAAGGGGCTGTCGGGGGTTAGAGGTATTGGCGGGATGTATGGTAACAGATAGGGACGTACAGTAGGCCGTGAATGAACTGAGGGGAAGCTCACGTCCAGGACACGACGGCATCACTGTGAAAATACTTAAAGATAGCATCGAAAGTATAACTAAACCCATAAAACATAGAGTGAACTTCAGTATAAATAATGGTGTATTCCCTGATATATTAAAAACATCTATTATTGCCCCAATATACAAAAGTGCCTATCCAAAACTACTGTCGAACTATAAGGCCAATTTCAATATTGTCAGATCTTGCTAAAGTCTTGGAGAAAATTGTTAAAAAATTTGGTAGAATTCTTAGAAAATAATAGAAAATTATCAAGTAATCAATATGGACTTCGGAAGGGTTCAAATACTCAAGATGCGATATCGGAAGTAACTACATACATTACTGACCAACTGGAAAGGGTAGGAAGTCGGTGACCGTGTTCCTGTACCTGGCCAAAGCCTTCGATACGGTGTCGTACTCTAAATAGTTAGTTAAGCTGTACAATATAGGAGTTAGAGGGGTTATGCTGGATTGGTTTAAAAGCTACCAGCAGAGTAGATCTCATATAGTCAAAGCAAGCGGTATTATCAGCGATCAGTTTACTTCAGAATATTCACTCCCTCATGGTACAGTCTTAGGACCGGTCCTTTTTATAATATTTATAAATGACCTATGCAGCTTAGCACTGAACGGACGGTTAATTGCGTTTCCTGACGATACAGCCCTGCTATGTGCACGAGAAAATTTGAGAGAAGACCCTCAGTACTAGAGACAATAACTTAACAACATTAAATACTGGTTAGATATAAACACACTATCACTTAACGTTATAAAAACAAATAATGTGACACTCTCGCTCTATAATACAGGCCAGCCAACTCCTGTGGCTCTCAGCATTCATGAAAAGAACTGTACTCAATCCTACTACCAACAATGTAACTGCTTCAAAGTGAATGGAAGAGATTAAGTTAAATACTTAGGAGTCACTATAGATAGCTGCTTAAATTGGAGGTCACATATATTAGATTTAACTAAAAAAAATGCGGAAGTTAATATACATATTTGTAACAGTCAGAGGAGTTTTCCCTATAGATAAATTAAAGATATTATACTACGGATTAGTTGGCTCTATTTTGCAATATGGAATCATAGCTTGGGCAGCGTCCGCCGCCTCTATACAAATACAGTTAGACATACCACAGAAAAATATAACAAGTGTAATGCTTAGAAAGAAATCAGTAGAACCGTCTAGACCTCTGTTTAAGCAGCTGTCTGTATTAAATATTAAGAAGATGTTTTTAAAAGTGCAGTGATTAGATTTGATAGTGGGAGACACCAGGTAAAGCGGTTAGATCATTCTGGTAACACACGGGGAGTAGTTAAGGGTCTGTATGAGTTACGTAGGAGAAGAACAACAGTAGGGCTTAGACATGGCATTTTGTGGGTGCGAAACTTTTTAATACACTTCCGGAACAAATACGTACAATTAATAAACCAAAATAATTAAAAAGTATTTTATTGATTTGAATTAACAACAAGGGGTGGATAAATAATTGGAGATAAGTACATAAATAATTATAGTAAATAACAATCAATAGAAAAAATAACTAAGCCTAAATTAAATAAATTATAGGAATAGTAAAGAGTGTAATCTAAAATCTTATAATAATTTAGTACGAGAAGCATCTTTATTTTTATAAATAATTATGTAATTATCAATTCCCTTTAAACAGTATCTATTGTTAAGTATTTATTTAAGACCTAACTAGACTAAGTTTATTTTTATTTTTTAATGTATTAAATACCTACGTTCGTATGTAGTTATACTGAGACCTCTCACAATACAGCCCCCAGTGGCACAGCGGTATGTCTGCGGAGTTACAACGCTAGAGCACAGATAGCCATTTGTGTAGCTTTGTGCTTAACTATAAACAAACCCCCAGCAAAGGGTAGTAAGACCTAAAGTGAGAGGTAATTTCCAATTAATTATATTTTTGTATTAGTAATGTAAAGTAACCCAAAAAAGGACTTAAGAAAATATAAACGAAAACATTCACTATAGTTACATAAATAAACAACGATTAATGTATTATTCTGATGCATCTTATAAATGCACGCACATACAGATAGGAAGTCAATAAAGCAAGTTAACTGTGAGATAATTAGACAGATCTAGACTGAGTGATCAGCAGTTTAGCCATGACAGGCGATTTCTAAAAAAGTTGCCCCCCAGTGGCGCAACGGTATGTCTGCGGACTTACAACACAAAAATCTGGGATTCAATTCTTCGCGGTAGGCAGAGCACAGATAACCTTTTTGTAGCTTTATGCTTAACTACAAACAAACATCTAAAGACGTTGTAATAAATAAGTCATTAAATGTTAAGTTAGTGAAAGTGAAGTTAGACTGCGTGATTGTTAGTTTAGCCGTAACGGGCGATAGTTAAAGTGAGTTTCTCAGTTTAATAGAGACAAGGAGAATAATTTGTTTTGTCAAAGGATGTTCTAAAGTAATTGAATCCGTCTGTGTGGACTTTGAGGAAAAGGACACAATTATTTAAAGTTATAGATACAACTGTGAATTTACCGCAGTTTGTATAGTAAGAAACAGAGTAGAGAAAAATAATCTGTCTTACCAATTGGATTATAAAGTAATTTAATCAGCTTGTGTGGACTTTTGATAAGAAAAGATAATTATTTAGAATTTTAGATACAACTGTGATATCCTATAGTGTAAAGAATTTTGTGCATACGTTTGACTTGTTTTAAATATATTATTTTAAAACAAGTGGATTGTGTGCTGTCTGTTTATTGTTCCAATTTATTGCCAACAAGTCACAGACATCTACAGTAATGAACCCAGCCCATATACAAAAATCCTGACAGAGATCAAATTGAAAGATTTGTTATTCAATGATTTTCAGATCGTAAAGTATATTGTTTTGAAAGTTAATATGCATTAGGTTTAGGATAACATCAAAATATATGGAATATTTGTAAAATTCATATCTACAGACGTTGAATTTTCTCAAATCTAAATTATCCAAATTATATAATTAGCTTCAAATTAGAAATTTTTAGTTTACTAATATTAAAAGTAGCTACACAAATTTAATGCACCATTAAATATTCTTTAAACTAATGTATTATTAAATTACCTTTACATTAAACTTAATACTTGAGAAACTTATGTGTATTATAAATCTAGAAAATGAAGTGTACAATATCTGTGAACTTTAGCTTATGCTAAACATTTTCCATTGTGTTACATTGTTAAACAAGTCAGCGAAATGTA